TGTACATTCCTTAAAAATTAAAACAAACAGATCAATATCCAATACGATTGCTGTTCATCTATCTGATAATGGACATGACGTAACTTATAAAAATTATTAATAAACAAATGACATTGAACTTATTGTTACTTAAGTCATCATTAACAAGAAGCGTATACCGGATTGATCAATTTAAAAGGATATTGTTATGATTTGTCCTACACTCCTCTGTTGACCTGAGTTCTTAATGCTTGGTTGATTGACAGATTATTTCATGTTCTCGATTCGAATTATTCTCTTTTTTGTTTTTTAATCTTTTTATCTAATTTATCTAAGTTTGTTGTTGTTTGCTTGAATCTTTCCATTGATGTTTAAGACTGTGCTATATTTGTAGAGGTTACGAGTTTACCTAATCTGTAAACGGAACGAAGACTCAGTAACACGTTGAACAAATTACGATTCGTCCAAGCTCCACTAACTAGAGAAAGAAGTCTAAGTTCAGAAAAAGGAAATATATTTGTCAAGCAGCCAAAAACATGAACAACAACAATAAGCACAACTCAAGCGTTTATATACAACATAAAAATGTCCTTCGGAAGCATGCTAAAAGAGACAGCGAACCGATAGCATTTAAGATCCTCCCAAGTGGGAAATAAAACATGAAGGTGGAAATGAACGCTTTTGGCACGAATACAATAAATCCAAATTGTTAAAATAGAATTACGAAAATAAGATATTTACCAAGTGAGTTCTGGAGATCTAACATCCCCAAAAGACTACAATTGATCAGTTCGTTATAGGCATATGTACATACTGTGCGAATTGCCTCGATATTGTTTTAAGTTACAAGCATTCTAAGCAACAATGGATAGTGGCTAGCAGTGAAATCCAGGACGCGCGTTTCTTCCAATTTGGTACTCGTCAGCTGGGTATACCTGCACCCCACAACTATTGTTCACTCCGGGACTCAAACTCAGTACCATTCGCTTTAAATGCCATCCCATTGTCTACTTAACTACTGAGTCCTGATAGCCACTTTCTTGTGCAATGGGGTGAAATTTGAATTTACTTAGTGTTGTTTTACTTGTATCTCCTCATTGATGTTTAGAACTGCAATTGATCAGTCTCTTGTTGGCATTTTGTTATTTCAGTAGCTAAGTGGACAACGTAATGGTGTTTCAAATGAACGGCATTGGGTTCGAGTACCCCAGAGTGAACATCAACTGTTAGATGAAATTACATCCAGTTGATGAGTCCCAACTTGGACAAAACGCGCGTCCTGGATTCCACTGCTAGTCACTATCCATCTTTGTTTAAAATACTTGTGACTTAAGTCTATATCAAGGTAATCCGCACATGATGTGCATATGTCAATGAGGGACTGATCAACTGAAGTCCTAAACATCAATGAGAAGATTCAAGTAAAATAACACCATGTGAATTTAATGACGTACAAATTTATATATTACATAATCGACATTTATGTTGGTAAAGGAAAATAGTGTTATGACGTAAGAACATGTGGTCGAGTGAATGAGTGAGTGAGCAAATGAGTGAGTGAATGAGTGAGTGAGTGAGTGAGTGAGTGAGTGAGTGAGTGAGTGAGTGAGTGAGTGAGTGAGTGAGTGAGTGAGTGAGTGAGTGAGTGAGTGAGTGAGTGAGTGAGTGAGTGAGAAAAGACAAAGCAAAATAGGAGAGTATAGAAGTGAACATTTATAACAAAATAAACACAATTACATACTTTAATCTACATGGATTGTTCTTTTTCCTCTTTTTTCTTTCTTTCGTTTTTTTTAACAAAAAAACATTGATTTGTAAACAAAAAGATAAAAGGCCACTTTGTAACCGACTAATTATTCTATATTGTATCATGTCAATAAATAAAAGTCATAATAAATAGTAAATCATGTCCTTGATAAACTACATATATATATGGATACTATCATGCTCCCCCCTCTCTCTCTCTTTTCTTTTCTCTCTCTATCTACAAATTGTCAGCTGATAAACAACCTCGCAACAACAACAACAACATTAAAAACTGTATATCTTTGTTTAACTGAAGTCAATAGATGAAAACTGTATGCTAAGTCCTTCTTTTTTTTAAAAAAAAAGAAAAAAAAGAGGAAACAATATTGTGTACCATCAAACTGAATTGTCTTTTTCTATGTAATAATGAATTGAAGAGAAAAAAATTATTGATTTGTTCATTTCATTTATGAAATTATATAAAGATTATTGTAAGCAATGATGGATAGTGGCTGGCGATGGAATCCTTAATGGAAAGATACCAGCGAAACAATACCAAGTGAATTTAAATTCACCCCATTGCATAAGCAAGTGGCTATCAGAACTCAGTAGCTAAGTGGATGAGGCAATGGCATTTGAGGCGAATGGTACTACTGGGTTCGAGTCCCAGAGTGGACATCAACTCTCTAAGATGCAAGTACATCCAGCTGACGAGTCCCAAATAGGACGAAACGCCCGTCAAACTAGATTCCACTGCTAGCCACTATCTATCATTGCTTACAAAAAGCTTGTGAATTAAGGCAATATCAAGGCATACGCACAGTATGCACATATGCCAATAACCGATTGATCAATTGCAGTCTTAAACCTCAATGGGAAGATACAAGCCAAACAATACCAAGTGAATTATCTAAAGATTTTTGTTAATTAATATTGGTATAATTCATAATTGTGTAGATAAGAGATTATGAATGTGTATTGTTCAAAATATTCCCGATCCGGATAACTCAGTGGTAATATTGCTGTTTAATCTGCTTATGTCTACTTCTCATTCCTAAACCAGTGTATTCTTTGGTCTTCCACTTTTCTGTTTTTCTTCAAAATTCCAAGTTAGGGCTTGCCTTGTGATGTAGTTTGATGACTTCTACAATGTATGACCTATCCAAACTCCATCCGGAACCGCTCTAGGGCTACTACCAGTAGGTTGGGGAATACTAGTCAGCGGCCTATGCTCTACTGGGGGTAACAGATATAAGTAAGGAAGGAAGGAGGTATGTCCTATTGAAATCCAACATCGTTTCCTAATTTCGTTTTCAGATGAAAGTTGATTTGTTCTCTTCTACAGTAAGCTGTTGTTGATAGTATCTAGTCAACGAACAATGAGTATCTTCTGTAGACAATTGTTTATAAATACTTGTACTTGTTTGATGTTAGTTGTAATAATTCTGAAAGTTTCAGCTCCATACAGTAAAATTGTCTTCATTTTTGAACTCCATGAATAATAAATTCTAACTAGAACCTCAAGAAATCTAGAAATCATAACAATAATTTCATCGTAAATCTAACGTAAATACACACCATAGTACTGACAAAGTTGTTAAATTTAAGATTTTATTTATATAATATGTAATCGGATCTGTAATTATCAATGTTCTAACTGTCTTATACTTTAAAGAATTCGTTAGAGATTTCAGTGGTTGAGATCATGAATCAATTGAAGCTAGATCACCATGGAAAACCTGGAAGCATTGGAGAACCGTTTCGTCGTACTATGGGACTCCTCAACAGTGTGCATCCATGATCCCGCCTCGTGAGATTCGAACCCAGCACCTATCAGTCTCAATTGCGATAGAGCGCTTGACCATTAGACCACTGATCCAGCTGGTATCCAGTGGTGTTAATGTCTAACTTCAACTAATCCACGAAATTCAGTGACACATCCACCATTATCATCAGTGAATTACTCTCTATCTCACAACAGACCTGATTCAAGTCCATATATGCTCTATATATGTAATTAACACTTCTCTATAAGCAATAATACTTTTTTATTACTGATATGCCTAATCCAGCGTGTTTATTAATCATCATATTGTAACAATATGACTCTATTTGTAAATTACCATATTCAATAATTATTTCCCAGTATACTATACAATACTACAAGTTGACTCATTGGAATGTAATACCCCCGTTTTTATGATTAGATACATATGACTTCTATCATTTCTATGCATCATTCTAGTTAATCTAAACAATGAACACAATTGGAATATACGGAAACTATGATTAAATATAAGAATTCCGTGTAACCTTTTTGTGATTTATTCTATTATCATAGAAGATATCAACGATATATATGTTGTGAGAATGGGGATTTTGAGTGTGTTTTTTTACAGCTAATAGTTGAATTCATGAATGAATGTAAGTAAGACCACCATGTAAAACCTAAAATTACTAAATAGCTGTTTCATTCTTCTCAGTAATATGCAACTACGATCTTGTACATGGGACTCGAACCTAGGATTTCCAGTCTTTACTATTAAACGAGATTGAGCTATATTGTTTAGCTTGTCATATGAAACTATAGATGGTGTCCAGTTCTCTTGAAAATCAATGTAAAATTATCTTAATCTATAAGGATTCTATTACATCTTATCATTGTTTGGAATAAACTTTAACCACCACCCTTAATATTTATGTTAAATCAAGGTTTCGACCTAGTAGGTATTCGTTATTAATGATTTACCGGTAATCTATAGTGATATAAATTTCCCGATATCATAGTTAGAAACATTCATTTAAAGTTAAAAATTCAATTGTCTTTCAAATAGTAACATTATTACAACACCCCCCACCCTTTCCCCCTCCCCCCTAAGTGTACATTATTATTATCATGACTGGATTCATTATGTTTCATCTATTCAATAAATTGTTAGTTAAATATATCCATAGATGAACATTAATGCATAGAAAAATTAACATTGTATTTATCATCCCTTAAACTTAACCATATATGACAGATATCTTAAGAACACACATAGATGCTTATGGATACCTAAAGATACCTTTGGATACCTACAGATACCTATAGATACCTCTATCCGTATTTCTTAAAGTTAATTTTACCATTTTACTATTAAACAAAGAGAAAATTGTCAAAAATCTGATATGTTCACTTCCTGTCGGTAGCCACCCATTATTTAAACTAAGTATAGATATATTGATATTCTCATGAATAATTTATTGGTTCATAATAAAGACAACAGTCAATATTATTTAGTTATATTCATTGAATAAAAGTTAATTACCGACATTATCATAGAAAAGGTAGATGATGATGATGATGATGATGATGATGATGATGATGATGATGATGATGATGATGATGATGATGATGATGATGATGATGATGATGATGATGATGATGATGATGATGATGATGATGATGATGATGATGATGATGATGATGATGATTCATTTATTACTATTTAATATACACATAGATACATAGATACATACATTATTTATCTCATTGTTTATAACAGAATAAACGAAAATGTATTCTAATGTGTCAGACTATTAAAAAAGAGAAAAGAATGAAGTGACAACAGTAATTCAATTGAACAGAGACTCATTAGTGACAGTCGCCAAGAGGTATTTCATGGAGTTCTAGTAAGAAGTAACCAATGAAGTCTGTTATGAGATAGTAATTCACTGAAGACAATGATGAATGTGTCATTGAAGCTCGTGAATTAGTTGATATTAGACATTAACACTGTTGGATGTCGGACGGATCAGTGGTCTAATGGTTAAGTGCTCGCGCGCGAAGCCAGTAGGTCCTGGGTTTGAATCCCGCGGGGGGCGGGTTCGTGAATGCGCACTGCTGAGGAGTTTCGCACTAGGACGACATGGCCGTCCAGTGCTTCCAGGTTTTCGGTGGTGGTCTAACTTCAACTGACTCATGATTTCAACCTGTGAAATAATAAGTAAATTAGAGATAATAAATATTGTAACCAATAAGTGAACATGAATGGTTTGTTGTGGAAGTAAAGGTGAGGATTGACAAAGTAAGGACAGGATTCCTACAGTTGAAAAAGATATGGAACTCAAAACAACTATCTGTAAGCCAAAATCAAAGTCAATACGAACGTCAAGACAGTTCTAGTGTATCAACCTGAAATTCTGATAACAACTACACAACCATCATCATCAGTGTACAAGTATTTATAAACAATTATCTACACAAGATACTCAATGTCCGTTGACTGGATACCATTAGCAGCAGTTTATAAACCAGCTTCCAAATGAAGAGGAAATTAGGAAAAGACATTGGAGGTGAATAGGACATACATCAAGGAAATCATCAAACTGCATCACGGGGCAAGTTCTAACACGAAATCTTGAAGAGAAACGTAAAATTGTAAAGCTCAAGAACACACTCAATCGAGAACTGGAAGCAGGTATGAAAAGAAGGAATTGCAATTGGAAAGAACTGGAAAGGATTACACAGGATAGAGTTCGATGGAGAATGTTTATGGACGGCATATACTCCTTCATGAGAGATAGCTAGTGTAAGTAAGTAATCACTGAATAGTTTTAATGTACTAATCTATATTCATAGTTTATTGAATATTATTAGATTTAGATTTGGACATTAACCTCTTGAGAGAATCATCAACTCTATCAATTTGTAATCATTTCAAGATTTTAACTATCCAGGCTAATTCTCCGGCAATGTATTACTTAATTACTTACTTACTTACTTACTTACTTACTTACTTACTTACTTACTTACTTACTTACTTACTTACTTACTTACTTACTTACTTACTTACTTACTTACTTACTTACTTACTTACTTACTTACTTACTTACTTACTTACTTACTTACTTACTTACTTACTTACTTACTTACTTACTTACTTACTTACTTACTTACTTACTTACTTACTTACTTACTTACTTACTTACTTACTTACTTACTTACTTACTTACTTACTTACTTACTTACTTATTTACTTACTTACTTACTTACTTACTTACTTACTTACTTACTTACTTACTTACTTACTTACTTACTTACTTACTTACTTACTTACTTACTTACTTACTTACTTACTTACTTACGCCTGTTACTCCCAATGGAGCATAGGCCGCCGACCCGGCAATGTATAGATACTTTTATATGAAAACTGAGAGCATATTTATCATAGAAACATTTATTTCATATGTAAATGTTTAAACTTTCTTATCGTTGAGTGTAAACGCTGTAAATGATCAGTAAGAATTCAGATATACCGACATTTGTACTTACGCATATTATTCCTCGTAGAGAAGCATGGGCCGACCACCGGGATTCTACATCCAACCCTGTCCCAATCAATCCTTTCTAGCTCTTTCCAGTTGCTATTCATCCTTCGCATGTCTACTTCCGATTCCCAAAGCAGTGTGTTCTTCAGCCTTCCTCTTTTCCGTTTCTCTTCAGGATTCCAAGTTACGGCTTACCTCGTGATGCATTTTGGTGATTTCCACAATGCATGTAATATCCACCTACAACGACTTTTCCTAACTTCTTCTTCATTTGGAAGCTGGTTTGTTCTCTCCCAAAATAGGCTGTTGATTATGGAAACCAACTAACGAATATTAAGTATCTTGCGTCGACGACTGTTTATAAATACTTGTACATTTTTGATTATTGTTGTATTAGTTCTCCAAGTTTCAGTTCCGTACAGTAGAATTAACTGTATTGACTTTCGTATTGAAGATTCTCACTTTGATGTTGGCTTGTAGACTATTGTTTTGAGTTCCATATTTTGTTCAACTGTAGGAATAATTATTATTATTATTATCATATTCTGAAAAATAATAATAATAACAGAATTCATGCCAGTTAACAGGCATGATCAATTTGATATAAATAGTAACATTAGATGTACAGAACAAACATGTGATAGAAGAAAGTTCTAAGTGTACTAGTTCAGTAACTGTTTAAGTAGTACATGTATTACAGCGATCCAATTCATTAGCCGGGAGCTAATAATTTTTCTCAAGTGGACATCCTGTTGAACGGTGTAATTAAGGTCATTTCATGTGCCAGATCGAATAATGATAATAATCTACAACTAGAGAAATGAAAACGAAAACAGAGAGCACGGAACAACAGAGCAATAATTACTAAAATATGTCAATCAGGTCTACCATAATGCATGTATCATGTGACTTAGTGATATACTGTCCGTGTTAGGTATTATTCGAATTAATTAAGGTTGCCAGGGCCGGTGTTAACGTAAAGTAACAGCTGGTAGATGGTTTACTTAGTGAATTCCGTAACAAGAATGACTAAACATTTAAAGTTCCTATGATCTTACTTGTGGGATAAGATACACTTACAGGTGGATAGAACATTAAATGCATTTTCAGAGGAGCAGTATGCATGAATGCAGCGAACAAAGTATTGGAGTGATTTTATCTTACGGATGGATTGTGGCAGATTATTCGAGAGTAGAAAATTTGCAGGTAAAGTAATTCATATAGTGAAATGATTTAAAATACGTTTGTTTCATTAGTGCCAAGGAATTACGTATGTTATAATGAGAGGTTTCTGCATATTGAATCGCGTGATCGGATGTAAACGATAGTTTATGAAGTAGTTTGAAGAAAAAGATAAGATTTAGTTTGAGTCTCCTCCTCCATAAAGGGTCTAGCCCAAGTTTATTACATCTAGAATTATAAGTTAAGGTACAATCAGCTCCAAGAATACAAAGTGTAAATCGTCTCTACTGATTCCAGCCTTAATTTATCCTTTATGAGCGCACTGCTAAGAATAAACGTGCAGTATTCCAGAAGAGGTCGAGCACAAACTTTGTACATTCGAATACGTGACTCAGTGTTGTAAAGATTTCGAGTTATGTAACCTATTAGACGTTGAGACTTAGAGGTCTGTTTTAATATATGTTGTGTAAACGACAGGTCTTGGGAATATCTAAGTCCTAAGTCTACTACTGTATGCAACCTAGGTAACACTTCTCCATTTATGGTAATGTCTAGGTTGAGTGATGTATTGCCGAAACATATCCATCCACATTTAGCCGTATTAAGCTCCAGTTGCCATTTCAAGCACCACTGTGCTACCTTGTTAAGCTTCATGCTGATGCAATTCTGCATATTTTTCAGGTCATGTGGAGAAAATGAATATACTACTTTAAGATCATCTGCATATAGAAGGGGCTTGCCGACACAAAAACTTTCACAAATATCATTGATAAACACTAAAAAGAGCAAAGGACCTAAGACACTACCTTGTATTACACCACTTCTAACAGGGACAGCGTTAGACAATGAAGGGTTAATTTTAACTATTTGATGTCGATTGCTGAGAAAGGAATACTGTGTTTCCTTTGCCAATCCTCATCTATCAGTCTGCATCGGATCCTCCTTCTTCATCGATGATGCTTCTCAGGTATGTGAAGGATTCCACATCATTCAGAGTTTCGCCATCAAATGTGATTGGCTTGGTGTTCTCCATGTTGTATTTGAGGATCTCGTTTTTCCTTTGTGTTTGTTGAGGCCTACTGATGCAGAGGCTGCTGCTACATTCGTTGTCTTCATCTACATTTGTTCGTGTGTACGGGGTGCACATATACTAATGTCTATGATCTAGTCTTAATCAATTAATATTTGGCTAAGTAAGCATATAAATATAGTTTGTCTGTTAAAAACAAACATTTTAAACTGAACAAGTTAAAACATGAAATAATAAGTCACTTCTTAAATGAAAATATCACTGTAACTTTTGATGATTGTAATGAGAGTTATTGTATACTTGAGGTTTACATAACTTAAGTTATTCATTTGGTATTGTTTTGGCTTGTATCTTCCCATTGTTGTTTAACACTGCAATTGATTATTTGCTTATTGGCATATATGCATCCTGTGCGTATTGCCTCGGTATTGCCTTAATTCAAAAGTATTCAAAGTAAAGATGGATAGTGGTTAGAAATGGAATTCGGGACTCGCGTTTCGTCCTGAGATCCAAGTACATCCAACTGACGAGTCCCAAATAGGACGAAACGCTCATCCTGAATTCCACTACTAGCCATAAATGGATATTCTCAGTAAAAAATTTCTTTTACATTGCTTTATAAAAGTTTCAATGATATATTAGTGGCTTCATGTTGTTCTATATAAATTGTAGTTTTTACTTGTTTAAAGTTTAGAAATCAGTCACTAGCTATCAACATAGGGCTTGATACAAATATACCCCAGTTGGTATTCTTCACACTGTTATAGTGTAAGACAATTAGAAGATTTTTGTCAGTATGTGATTTTCTAAATGAGAAAGAAATGTTAAATTATCATTACTTACTTACGCCTGTTACTCCTCGTGAAGGAGCATAGGCCGCTCACCAGCGTTCTCCATCCAACCCTGTCCTGGGCAATACTTTCCAGCTCCGTCCAGTTGTAATTCATCCTTTTCATATCTGCTTCTATTATCCGACGCAATGTGTTCTTCGGCCTTCCTCTTTTTCGCTTCCCTTCAGGATTCCAAGTTAGGGCTTGCCTCGTGATGCAGTTTGACGATTTGCGTAATGTATGTCCTATCCATTTCCATCGTCTTTCCCTAATTTGCTCTTCATCTGGAAGTTGGTTTGTTCTCTCCCACAGAAGGCTGTTGCTGATGGTATCCGGCCAATGGATGTTGAGTATCTTGCGAAGACAGCTATTTATAAATACTTGTACTTTCTTGATGGTGGTTGTTGTAGTTCTCCAAGTTTCAGCTCCGTACAGTAGAACTGCCTTGACGTTCGTATTGAAGATTCTCACTTTGATATTGGTTGAAAGTTGTTTTGAGTTCCATATGTTCTTCAATTGTAGGAATGCGACCCTTGCTTTGCCGATCCTCGCCTTTACGTCTGCATCTGAGCCTCCTTGTTCATCGATGATGCTTCCCAGATATGTGAAGGATTCTACATCTTCCAGAGTTTCGCCATCAAGAGTGATTGGATTGCTGTTCTCCGCTTTGAATTTGAGGACCTTAGTTTTACCTTTGTGTATGCTGAGGCCTACTGATGCAGAGACTGCTGCTACACTGGCTGTCTTCATCTGCATCTGTTCGTGTGTACGTGATAGGAGGGCTAGGTCATCTGCGAAGTCCAAATCGTCTAATTGATTCTGAGCTGTCCATTGTATTCCGTGTTTTCCTTCAGATAATTTATTTTAAAATAAAATAAATTATCATTGAATCTTTGAAATCCTAAATGGCCGTTTAACCCTAGTAAGGGATTCTTCAATAATGTGCATTCATGATCTTTCACGTAGGACTCGAACTGGAGACCTTCAGTCTTATACATGAACGCTTAAACTCCAGATCTTAACATTCAATATCCATGGTTCGATTCCCGGATATGCATGGCGGTTCGTGTTTTCCAGCTTCTCAATGGTGGTCTAATTTAGATTGTTTCAAGATTCAAATCAAATATAATCATCACAATAATTGAAGATAATAAGACAGATTGAATAAAACTGATTTATGAAATATAAAGAAGAAATGTAGATAGTGAATCATTTTGTGTGTTTGTGTGTGGGTGTGTGGATTAACTAAAATAATTATATTCCAATTAAGTTAATCTAATCAATTATTATGAGTTTATTCCCTATAGGAATTAATTATCTCTAGTGAATAAGCATAAGCTGCCCACCTGTACTATCCATCCAACCTTGTCCTGAACAAATCATTACCAGTTGTTTCCAGTTGTTATTGATCTTTTTCATATCTGCTACTAATTCTCAATGCAATGTGTTCTTCAGTTTTCCTTGAAACCGATAACTTACTAACTTGCTTATTTACTCCTGTTACTCCCAATGGAGCATAGGCCGTCTAACAGCATTCTCCAACCCACTCTGTCCTCGGCCTTTCTATCCAGTTCTATCCAATTCTTCTCATATCTGTCTCCATTTATCGAACTAATGTGTTCGTCGGTCTTCCACTTCTCCTTCTTGGACCTTGGGAATTCCATGTAAGGGTTGGCCTTGTAACGACGCAGTTCGGTGCTTTCCTCAATGTGTGTCCTATCCACTTCCAGCAATTCTTCTTGGTTTCTTCCTCCACTGGGATCTGATTTGTTCTCTCCCTTAATAGTAGGTTTTGCTGATAGGTTCTGGGTAGACGGATCCGAAGTATTTTGCTTAGGAAACTGTTACTGAACACTTGTATCTTCTGGATGATGGCTTTCGTAGTTCTGCAAGTTTCCACTCCATACAATAGAACTGTCTTGACATTTGTATTGAAAATTCTGACTTTGATGTTGGCTTGTGGACATTTGTGTTTGGGTTCCGGATGACCTTCAATTGTAGATATGCTGCTCCGCCGGAAAACCCCTGGGGCTACTACCGGTTTCAAGCTCGGATAAAGCAAGAAGGTTGAGCATGATGTTAACGACCACAACTCATAATAAACTAAGTCGCTAAAGAAATGCTTACCAGAAAAATAATTCAAACCATTTAACGATACAAGTAAATTAGTCATTAATATAAATTTTAAAACTTTATAACATAATTATATTCAAGTGGATATCAAATTTGAAAAGTTAGTGGTTGAGGTTATCAAATGATGAATACCGAAAAAATTGAAAGGTAAGATGTAACTCCAGTTTTTCGAATACGCTTCTGTTTGTTTATTGATTACGTCGAATAAATGTTACAATACTTTATTGAAATCATGAACCGACGAATGTTAGGTCACAACTAAGAACCTATGAACACTGAACGGCTGTCCTTTCCCTGTATGAGTCTCCTCAGCTGTACACATCCACCACCCTGCATGCGAATTCGTACTGCAAAAGTTCGGTCTCTTCGTCAAACATTTGACTTCTAGACTACTGAGCTGACATTTAACGGTCTTATTGTCTAACTTCTGTATTGCTGAATATACGGTTGTCATGGTCTAAAAACTAACAAGTAGCTTTATAATGATCAGTCATCCTACTTAGTGACCATATTGCAGATTAGACAAAGTAGATTCGTATTTTGGACTCATCAGTTGGATGTACCTGAATCCTAGAGTTGATGTTCACTCTGGGACTCGAAGATAGTACCGTTTGTTTCAAACACCATCATGTTATCCACTACTAGCCACTATTCATGTTTGCTTCGAATATTAGTGAATTAAGGTAATATAGCGACAATCCGAACAGTATACACATATGCCAAAAAAGCGATATCAAGAGGAAGATTCATATAAACAATACTAAGTGAATGATTTGATTTGTCAGTGTATATTTAATCCAAATGATATGGAATAATAAACTGAATATAATTGTTAGTCCATTTCATAAATTTCATAATCTACTTACTGAAATCGGTGTAATAATCCGTGTCGGGTAGAAACAGGTGTCTACCTCAGTAAAATCGAAGATGGTGGCGCAATTTCGTGGATTGGTTGAGGTTAGACATTAACACCATTGGATACTCAGTGGTTCAGTAGGTTAAGCGTTCGCGCGCGAGACTGACGGCCCTAGCTTCGAATCCCGCAAGCGGGATCGTGGATGCACACTGCTGAGGAGTCCCACAATAGGATGAAATGGCCGTTCAATTCTCTCAGGTTTTCAATAGTGGTCTAACATCAGTCGGTTCATGATCTCGATCAAAAACAAACTTGTTCGTTTCAGACATTTAATTCATTTAGTTGAGACTGATTATATGGTTGATATCTAATTAGCCTTTGTAGTATTGTACAAAAGATTTCAATAAGCGTATACTAAGATTTATTAAAGCCTTGATTATACATAAACTGAAACTCCCTTTATGCGTTCAAAACGCAATTTGCTATTTACATATTTTCGCAGATTGAACTCATGAGTCAGTTGAAGCTCGACCACCATTGAAAACCTGGAAGCACTGGACGGCCGTTTCGTCCTAGTATGGGACTCCTCAGCAGCGCGCATCCACGACCCCACGCCACCCGGGGCTCGAACCTAGGACCTGCTAGCCTCGCGCGCGAGCACTTAGCCATTAGACCACTGAGGCGGCATCCAACAGTGTTAATGTCTAACTTCAACCAATCCACGAAGTTGCGCTACCGTACACCATTGTCTTCAGTGAGTTCCTATCTCACAACAGACCTGGTTGAACTCCACTGGTAACGACTTCTCACTAGAACTCCAGAAGTGTCTCCTGAAGTCAGTCACTAGTGAGCAGGTGATTGTTATTATCAGAATGTGTTTTGTGGAGATTTTTAGAAATTTTCACAGATTGAACTCATGAGTCAGTTGAAGCTAGACCACCAGTGCTTCCAGGTTTTCAATGGTGGTCTAGCTTCAACTGACTCATGAGTTCAATCTGTGAAAATTTCTAAAAATCTCCACAAAACACATTCTGATATTCACATATTGTTTTTGTGTACTTTATTATTCTTTGTTTCTACTTCCCTTTTAGTTTGTTTAGTTGACCTTTTAGTTTTCATATATAAATGTTCTTAACAAGTACATTATGTGTGATAAGATCACATATTGCATAATGTTGATAAACTTCGTCTTCTTATTCATAGTTTTAGTTAAATATCAGGCAATGAAACATGTCAAAATGCTGTCAGTCAATGTATATTCAAGTGTAGAAATTGTGTTCCTGTAATTCTTTTACATAAACTGTTTAAATGGTTAGAAATACCACTACTAATACTACTCTGACAACTACTCTGACTACTACTACTACTACTATTACTACTACGACTACGTCTACTACTACTGCTAATATCCCTGGCCTTCACTCTCACGAGCGAACGCTTAATCACTAGACCACTAAGCTGGCCGGCATCCAACGGTGCTAATGTTTAACTTCAGCTAATCCACGAAATTCAGCGATGCACCCACCATTGTCATTAGCGAATTACTATCTCACAACAGACCCGGTTGAAGTCCACTAGATTAGCTTGTAAGAGACTGAACAGTAATCGAGGGAATAAGATATATGAATGACTTAGTCCATCAGGCGTGTGAAATTGAAGACTTCCTGACTATGAATTTTAGGGTTATATATTTATTTACCTATGGTTGAATACTTCAAATATTTTGTTGATTACGTAATCTCCTAATCACAATTAACTGGTTTACGTATTAAGTCGTTCTGTATATCTTTAGTTCATTTTCCATATGGTATTTATATGGTGAAACTGTTTTCCATTCGAGTTTAATAATTTTTTTCGTGGATTGGTTGAAGTTAGATACTAACACTATTGGATGCCGGCTCATTGGACTAGAGGTGTAGAAACCAAAGGTCCTGGGTTCGAATCTCGCGAGGCGGGATCGTCCCAAAATAGGACGAAACGGCCAGATTTTCCGTGGTGGTCTAGCTTCAATTGACTCATGAATTCAATTATTAAATAATTCTCAGTTCAGTCAGTTCAATTGGAAATAGATTGTTTGATATAAACAAAAAAAAGTTTAATGAATACATAAAATGTTTTCTTCATAATTGATTGATCACTGGGTGACGATCAATGTCATATGTATCAGGTCTTTCTTGATGTAGATCAAATTCTATTGATCAATCAATTGTAAATACATCTCAGTCCTACAGGAGGTCAGTTGCTGCCCGGATAGCTCACTAGTAACATCTCTCATTGTGAAGCTGAGTGACACGAGACTGAATCCATCAGGGAGTATCAGTTCCCTCAAGATTACAGATATACCTTGCTGACAAGTACCAAATAGCACAAAACCTAGGTTCAGGGTTTCCTATCATTTATCTCTAACCATCACCTTATCTCATAATAGTGAACGGACAGATACACCCCTATTTTAAACAGAGATAAAATTCTTTAAAAAAGCATTTCCTTAAGATTATACTACTTAAATATCCCTTTCAACTTATAATGGATTGTAAGAATAAGCAGTCAATTTGATTTTCTTTCAATGTTTACAATTAATTCTTTATTAATTTACAATCGATTAAACAGCGGGTGATTCCTTTTTCTTTTCTTTTCTTTCCCTTTTCTTTCTCTTTAATCTTCATCTATCTTCATTCACAGTTTTATATTTTAATCCAAGTATAATGTTAATTTAAGTAACCTAATAATCTATTTTGCCTCAGGTTATTTAGCTCCATCATCAATGATAACGTAGATAACTATTCATTTAGATATGACGAGATCTGTTAGATATTTATTATCTATGAACAGATAACAAAAAAAAGAGAGCGTGAGATAAATAAACATCAACTTGTATTTATACTTACTTACTTACAGTTATTAACCCTCGTGAAGGAGCATAGGCCGCTCACCTGCATTCTCCATACAACCCTGTCCTGGGCAATACTTTCCAGCTCCTTCCAGTTGTAATTCATCCTTTTCATATCTGCTTCTATTATCCGACGTAATGTGTTCTTTGGCCTTCCACTTTTCCGCTTCCCTTCACGATTCCAAGTTACGGCTTGTTTCGTGATACAGTTTGACGATTTGCGTAATGTATGTCCTATCCATTTCCATCGTCTTTCCCTAATTTGCTCTTCATCTGGAAGTTGGTTTGTTCTCTCCCACAGAAGGCTGTTGCTGATGGTTTCTGGCCAATGGATGTTGATCATCTTGCGTAGACAACCATTCATAAACAATTGTACCTTCTTGATGTTGGTTGTTGTAGTTCTCCAAGTTTCAGCTCCGTACAGTAGAACTGCCTTGACGTTCGTATTGAAGATTCTCACTTTGATATTGGTTGAAAGTTGTTTTGAGTTCTATATGTTCTTCAGTTGTAGGAATGCGACCCTTGCTTTGCCGATCCTCGCCTTTACGTCTGCATCTGAGCCTCCTTGTTCATCGATGATGCTTCCCAGATATGTGAAGGATTCTACATCTTCCAGAGTTTCGCCATCAAGAGTGATTGGATTGCTGTTCTCCGCTTTGAATTTGAGGACCTTGGTTTTCCCTTTGTGTATGATGAGGCCTACTGATGCAGAGACTGCTGTTACACTGGCTTTCTTCATCTGCATCTGTTTATGTGTATGCGATAGGAGGACTAGGTCATCTGCGAAGTCCAAATCGCCCAATTAATGGTTACCATCAATCTATTCTGAAAGTTTAACCACCATAGAAAACCTGAAAATACTAGGCGACCGTTTCATCCCATTGTGGAGCAACTCAGCAGTGCGCATCCATGATCCCATCTCACGAGATTCGAACCCAGGATCGATCAGTCTCGCGTGCGAACGAACGCTTAACCATTAGACCACTGAGTCAGCTGGCATCCAACGGTGTTACTGTTTAACTTCAACCAACCTTTCAGTGTCTATTAATTCAACTACTCCTGTGGAGCAAGTTATATTGGTTAATGTTCTAAGAATTTGTATATCTGGACTCGTGAACACCTCCTAACGTCGTTAAGAAAAGATGTAGTTAAAACTGTTAACCGCTCCATTTTATCACATTTATTTGATTCAAACAGGACATATAGCCAACATGGAGCGATCTTTCACAATAATATACTGTATTAACGACAGTCTACATAATTCTACATAATTGAAAAGGATGAACAAATCTCA